CTCCTGGGTTGGAGGCCATTGCTATTAGGCTGGAGGCCATCGCTCTTAGGTTTGTTGGCCACTGCTATTAGGTTGAGGTTATCGCTGCTGGGTTGGAGGCCATTGCTATTAGGTTGGAAGTTTGGAGGCCATCACTTCTCAAAATACGCTTGCAGCATCTCAGGTCTCCAACAGCACTAACAGCAGCATGCAGATCAGCGTCCAAAGCGGACAGGAGGTTTCGACCAGTGAGCAATGGCAGCCAGAACCACAACTCATCGAGTTCGAGGCTGCCGCTCCCAGTAGTGTCCGATTGGTCCTAGTAGTAAGGCCAGGAGCCCCTAGTAGAGTCCTTTGCTCCTAGTAGTGCTGTTTGTGCGTTCCTATGCACCGGAGAGAATCAGCCAGATTCCAGGCAGGGCATGCCCCTGCGCACGTTTTGCGCAGGTGGACCGACACTACATTTGTCAGACCCTCTTGTCCCAAGAGAAGGAGCTGCGAATAGTAAACAACACGGAACAACAGTTTTGCAGCGACTTTGGTGGAAGGCTTCCCTCACTCTTCAGAAAATCACCAGTAACGGTACCTCAGTATCGATAATAACTGCAGTGTACATTACATACTATAGTTATATGTATGGTATAAGTACGCACACACACACACTAATATATATATATATATTCCGACGGGTTCACTTTAGACCCTGTGAACTTTCTGGAAGCTTTCGTCGAGAATTGAGTTTCGCCAACAAAAGCTGAGATCTGGGACATTCCGAAGTCTTCCCCCCGTCATACAAACCATTCATCGCCATCGTGTGTCCTACTACTCACACGAACGAAACCACCCCACACCCCATCACACCACTTGCATCATCCATCGAAGAACATCCATCATACATTTGCCTTGTTGACGAACCCTTCAAGATACTGTACATGGTTTGTCTCTTCTGTGTTACATGGAGAATCATCCAAAAAAACGCAACATGGGCGCGACCGCACTGCGAGCGGCACGAAAACATGTAAATACTATATATGCGAACATACCAAGCACAGAGAATCATTGGAGTCTTAACCAAACCCGCCTGAACATCACGGAAAACGGTGTGTCTCAAACATTAGACCCAAGGGCCACACAGTATCCTTTTGCTGATGGACTCTTTTCAAAAGCAGGCCGGTCAGATCACCTAAATGCAACTGTTGTTGATACCATACCTCTTGAATAAACAAGTTAGCTTGTTCTATTACAAGCCTAGTTGTTTTTTTCTCGGGAGGTTCCTCAGGTGATGCAAAGTAACAAAAAATAACCAAAAGGCATGGACGGACGCTTTTCATGAGACCGTGGTTGATGTTGGGACCTGCGGAATGGAACGCGAGGTCTATAGAGCAGTGGTGTTCTTGCTGTTCTCTCTCTTGATGTCATGTCAAAAGCTGGGTGTGATCATCACTTCACTGTTTCAGGACTTGTGGCAAAAACACTTGGAAAAGTATGCTGGAAAGGACCTTTGCCAACACTTTGTCACTATTCAAGCTGTGACCTGTCAGGTGTTGGGTCAGTCATTCGTGTGAAACAGCTGGTTTCGTTCGGATGTTTCGAGCACACTCATGCATTTGAAGGTGTACAAGAATGCCTTTTAATTTGGCTGTAGGTTTGGACTGTTTTGAAGAACTCTGCCTTGTTGAATGCTGTAAGCTTACGGATGTTGGCAGTCTTTGTAGTTTGGGCTGGCTTGAGGAGCCCACGTTCCAAAAAAGTGGAAGAGGCTCAGCACGGAACAAAGCTGATTGGAGACCCATGCTGGAGCTGCCTCCAGTGACAGCAGCGCAATACTGCTGCAACTTCGGTCACATTGTGCTGGGACACTCTGGCAAGAAGGTGGGACAGTGCAGGAACCTTTACCCACCTCCATTTGGCTGCCTCTTTGGGAGGTGATCTCGGTCTACAACTGTTTCCATGAGAATGTGAACTTCAACATCAGCCGAAAAGTCTTGATGCAGTATGGCTTTCAGATCAGCCCAGAGAAGGCAGGGGAGTGTGTCTTAAGCATGAAGGTCTCCTTCATGAATCATCTTTGAAAAGCACGGTCAGCATTTTGTAGAGTCTGCAAACTACATAGATAGATAATACACTAAAACACTCCTGAAAACACTTCATAAATAACACATTTTAACACATTATGTGTGAATCATATCTAAGACCAGAAGCAAACATAAAACAGCAAACATTTCCACCTGGAGCCAGACAAAGAGAGTCACAATTGTAGACGTGACCACGTGTTGTGCCCGTAGGTGAGCAAAGTCTTGCCAGGGAAAAAGGTGAAGTTGGAGCTTACTTGCTTCAGGGACAGGACCGCAACCGCAAGTTGCCTTTGTGGCGATCTGCACAATGAGAGGAATCCATCGCACTGACACGTGTGTCATGTGGTGTCAGGAGTGGTGAGGAGGGCAAACAAGAAACAACTTGGATCATCCCAGTTCGTGGTGGGCCTTTCTATGAGGCTGACCATTTGGTTTGGTCCTTTTACTCTCTCTCTCTCTCTCATTGATATTAGGTTGGAGGCCATGGCTAGTAGGTTGGAGGCCTTCTTTACATGAACATTTTTGCACTGTGAATCTCATTTACTGTATATATATATATACTTTTTTTCTTTTTCTCTCTCTCTCTCTTCTCTGTTTCGAGGTGAAACTGGTGAGCGAGTTCGTACGCCCCGACTTGGAGCTCTCATCCGATTCCATCGACTTTGGCCACGTGCCAGTTGGCCAGGTGAAGAGGATCACCATCAAGCAGCTCGGCTGCAGAGTCCAGCTGTCAAAACAAAGTTTCGCTGATTTTCTTGGTACTTTGATGTACTTTGTATGGTTTCGTGTAGCTTTGTGTGGCCCAGGCTCCGCAATGTGAAGCCTGTGGTGGTAAGCCAAGACCCTAGGGCCAGTCTACGGAACACCTCAAGCAATTTTTGTGTACAGTTACACTGTTGCGCAATTGCGCAAAGCTCTGCATTTCTGCGCTTTGCGCCTGCAACGCTTTCTCTACTTTTCCTCACCTTTTCTCTCAATCCATTTTCTGCAGAGATACCTTTGATTGTTTCTTTACTTTGCTCCAGACTCCAGTCTGTTTTTGTACTTTTTCTGTTGGAATCTTGTTTTTTTGTTCGGTTGGAATGCCCAAGGTAATTAATTGGGACCTCCATTAACCCACCCAAGACTGCCCTGGCTGTTTCAAACTCACAGTCTTTGATGTACTTGCGTATCCGACCCACCTATGACTAGCACGCCACTCAACCCTGCTATGTCGCTAGTTGCTGCACTATTTTCTTTATGCAATGTTGCTATGCGTGTTGAACAGTTGTATGTGAAGGGGGACGTTGGGGGGTATACAGCATGCTTGGTGCTGTACATGTGTTTCTCCGCCTCTTGGCACCGTTTGTCCGCATGTCAAGAAAGTTCTGTCAGTGCAGATGCAGGCTTTGCCCGTGACAGGTGCCACTGTAGCTTTTTCAAGCTCCATTGCTCCTAGTAGCGTCCTTGCTACTAGTAGTAAGGCCAGGAGCCACTATCGTCCTTGCTCCTAGTAGTACGGCCAGGAGCCCCTAGTAGCTTCTTGTTCCTAGTAGCGATGCCAGGAGCCCCTACTAGCATCCTTTGCTCCTAGTACACCAAGTGCGCAAAATTATCGTGTAGTTGCAGTGCAGACTTGACATGTGCTGTTGCCTTGCTTCCTGTGAGCCTTAGCACAAGGGAGCGCTTAGACAAGGCTCTGTGCAGGATAGGGTGCCTGATGCAGGCTAGTTGCCATTCGCAGCCGTGCTCCTTGTGCCAATTTTTATCTTTGACTTGGTGTCTTGAAGTCTTGGTGTGAGTGAACAACTGTCGCACACGCTTTGCAGTGTTGGAGTTTCTACGCGGCTTTCTGCCAGGCAGTACCTGTGGTTCATAATGAGCAATCATACCCTGAGGCTGGGACTACAGGGTGCCGACTGACAAGTTCGGCAAACCGCTGGAGTGCGCTTACGTTCTCCAACCTCGTGCCGGGAGGAGATAAGGGCTAGCTACGAAAACGGCGCAGGTTGTGCTGGATGGGCTGGACGGGCTGGATTAGGCTACTAGCTCAATGCGCTCAATGTATTTCAATGTACTTGTTCCTTTTCTTATAGTGCATGTTCACAGACACTGAGTGTCGAACGCGGAAGAGGTAACGCAGATCCCATTTGTGTTGAGTCCTTGCCAGGATTGCACCGGGCGATATTCAATTTGTGACGGTGAGTTTTACTCCCACGGCGGCCAGTTATTTCAATCAGAAGTTGGCCTTGAGGATCATGGACAATCCCAACAGATGCTTGAGCAACGAGAATATGGGTCGAGAACGTGCATATGTTGCATGATGTTGCATGTAGTTAGGACATGACATCATGTTTTTTTTTGAACTCGCGGAGGCTTTCAATTCAGCTCAGGAAAACAACTGCACATGCGTGGACACGGTGATGGTTTGCGAGTGGACGTTGAGCCGTCAAGCTTTCGTTTGGGACCTGTGCTTCCAGGGACTGAGAACTGCATCCAAGAGCTCTTCCTGTGCAACCCCACAGAGTACACCATTGAGGCCATCCGCCGGAGCTTGTTGGACAAGGATTTTTTACACCTGAGACGAAGCTTTCGTTTGATTCTAGCGTGGTCAGCGTGGCCAGCTTGCGGCTGTAGGTCTATAGTACTGATTTCGACTCCAAGTACAAGGAGGAGGAGTATTTTCTCCAAGTGTATGACCAGTGCCTTGAAGATTTTGAGAATTCCGTAAAGCCTGACTAGCAGCACATGCTGAGCAAAGGCACCTGCAAATCCACTTCTGCTGCTTCGTTGCTTGAGGTATGAGAACGATCGTATGGAGCTCCCACTTCGGCCGCCGGGTGCTCCGACATGGCCAAAGGTGGCGAAGCATGGACGCAAAGTTCGGAGAGAGGAGTTGATCAGGCAGCGCGAGATCAAGGCGAGGTCCCTTGCTACTAGTAGCGTCCTTGCTCCTAGTAGTAAGGCCAGGAGCCCCTAGTAGCTTCTTGTTACTGTACTAGTAGCGATGCCAGGAGCCCCTAATAGCTTCTTGCTCCTAGTAGCGATAGCCTCCACCCTAGTAGCGATGGATAGCGATGGCCTCCACGGATGCAAGTGCCTTTCACGACTTCTCGCCACTGGATCGATGAATGCGAGGTGCAACAGAGGGTAGAAGCTCGACAACAGGCAGCAGAACGTGTTGAGATGGCGAAGAAGCTGGCAGAAGTGGCAGATGAAGAGGCTCAGGAGAGGCTTGGAAGGAGAAAACCAAGAGAGAGAAGCGACAGGAGCGAGGAGGCTTCCCAAGAAAATTGAAGATTCACCAGGAATATCTCAAAGACTCAAGGACTTATTTCTGAACAAACCACCAAGAGCTTGTGAAGACATGCTGTCATTTAGGAGTCCTAGATGTTGTGTCAAAGGCTTATATGTAGCCGGAGCTAAGGAAAGCGAACGCCGACCTCAAGGAGGCAGAAGCAGCACTGGCGGAGATCGATGCACTACCAGAGGAAGAGCCCGTGGAAGAGGACGCCTCTCGCACCATCTCGCACCAGGGCACGTTTCGGGGAAAAGCATAGCGATGGCCCCCAACCTACTAGCAATGGACGCAAAGAAGAACGAAGAAACGCATTGTACTTGTTCTCTTACCAACTCGTGTTGGGCAGATTGGGTGTGACTGCTGTTCCGTCTTGTGAGTCTTTGGTTTGCAAGGAATCTGTGGATGAAGTCGGAGAGGTTGAAGAGGCACCTGGCCTGCAATAAGTGCACAAAGGCTATGTCAACAGAAGCTGAGCAGAGGTGCTTTTGGCAATTTTTTGCATCTATCGAAAGACATATAGAAACGCAGAAAGAAAGAAGGACAAGGTATCCAGGCTAAAGGTCTAAAGACCAGAAACAAAATACCTGATGTGCATTGCCGTAGCACAGGACATGCAGCCAGAGATGGACCCTGCCGACTTCCCGTACAGGGTGCTGGATGAGGAAGGTTGAGAGAGTGGGAGACACGGAAGTGCGCGAAGAAGATGGAACTGCATGGGGTATTTTTAAAGCAACGATAGCCAGTTGGTAGGATATGGTAGCATCTCATTAGGCAAGTGTTCAACATTGTGCCACCTGTGAGTTGACCTGGGATTGATCCTTTCCACTTCTCTCATCTAAAGGACCGACTTCATGCCGTGCTCATCGGCCCCGCGTGTAGTGGCAAGAGCTCACTGACACGGCACTGTGGCCGAGAGGGCAGGAAGGTCATCACAGTCGAACCTGGGCTTCCCTGGGCTTTTTCAATCGACCCGGTCGATCCGGTCGCTATTCGATGCCTTTTGCATCGCTAGTGCCGCTAGTAGGTTGGAGGCCATCGCTAGTTGGGATTCAGCATCATTGGACAAGCTCGGCCGAACTCGGTTGTTCAGGGATTTGACACCAAATCCAAAAGTGTTGCCAATTCGGCTAGCTTGATGTGAAGGACTGATTGGGCTGCAGGGTGGAATCATTGAACCCCCGAGGACCATTAAAATAGCTGGGTTTCATGCTGTTCGATGCATATTTGCTCACCTTCTTTTGGATATGATCAATTCAGATAAAACACAAAGAACCCACACCACACTGGACATGACGGCATTCGACAGATCATCATTGGAGAGCTCTGGTAGCGTTTTCAACTCCACAACCTTTGAACCCCTGCTGTTTACCAGTGGGAAGGAGCTGCCTCATCAGCAGTTTTCACATGTCACGAAAGGTAGCTTGAGCTACCTGAGTTCTCCTTGCTTTAGCAAAAATGTATTACAATCAGGAGTTGGGATCGTGCATTGAATTTGGTCCTGTAAGAGTTGATTCTGTTCGTCGGGGGGGGGCCCCCCCCCCCCCCCCGCAAAACCCCCCCCCCCCCGGTCTCCCCCCCCTGGGCCTCTTCCAGGGGTTCTTTTGGATTTCCTGCTACCTTTCCTTCACCCCCCTCCTCTCTCAAGTTTTGACATTCCACTCTGCGTACTGGAAAACTTGTACCAGTTTACTCACCGTAAGAAACAGCGTTTTTCAAGGAAGGGCAACCGGGTACCACCTCAACACAAGTTCGAACCCTACTCCGTAACCCATGGATCGCACCTTCCCTGGATAGCACGACTTCACCCTGCTCTTAGGTTGGAGGCCATTGCTAGTAGCTTGGACCGCTTCTCCAGTGGCAAGAATCACGCAAAACACCAGCACGGGCAACATACATATAACCACGCCGCTTCACCAGCATAGCCATAACACATCACCCGCTGTAAAAACCGACTTCCTGGGCCCAAAGAGGGCAGCTTTTGCATTCGCGCAGTCCCACGGTATTGGCTCCCCTACCTGGGACGCGGCTGCCCCCTCCTCAATCTTTTGGTAGAGGTTAGGTGTGCCCACTTGGGACGTGTTGCCTCCAGGTTGACGCGGGATATTGGCAAAGCTGCCAAACATATGTGCGAGGCGTAGACATGTAATTATTGTTCAGGAAGACCTTCCAGATGTTGCATTTTGGGTCCCACAGAGCTAAAGTGCTCAGACGCCGAGTTTCTTCTCAATGTTCACGCCCAGTCGTTTCTTCTTAATGCTCATCTCAGGAGGAGGCAGTAGATTGGGCTCTATCAGGCGGAAGAAGCTAAATGTCAGAATGAGTCAGGATGAAAGCACTCAACGGTGGAGTGGCCCCCCGTTTCGTCGTTTCTCCTTGACGAGGCCCAGCTTCACTACAATCTCCGGAAGAGGAAGACCGGCGAGCCAGGCTTCGTCAATTGATGCTTGGGCGAAATTTCAACTGGCCTCCATCGCTACTAGGGTGGAGGCCATCGCTAGTAGGGTGGAGGCCATTTCCTGCAAAGACATCCTGCACACCAGGACATTCCCAGCTTGTGTGGGTGAGTCTCAGATGTAGAAATCCAGACATTTCCGAGGATGACGACAGCTGAAGAGCAGCATGAGCAAGCAGAGAAGGAGATACAGGGGCTTTCCTTGATTTTCCTTTGATCAAATTTTACTCCAAATCCTTGATGTCACTGCAGGTCTTGAATTGAGAGTCCGTACACTTGCATCTGCCATTTTGATGCATTGATTTCTGGGTTGGTGTTGTAGTGAAATATGCCCGATTGCATGGTGAAGGACAGAGAGAAGCAAGCTCAAAAGGCCAAAGAACAGTTCCTCGCAGATGCAAGCTATATCTTGTTTTTCTTGACAAGCCGCATGCTTGACGTGAGTGGAACAGTGGCAGGTCTGGGTCGACGTTCCCAATCATGCACCACAAAGAAGTTGCAACCCTTGGCAGCCATTTCCCTGCACACACACACACCACAGTACATTCACAAATTGGCCGGGCAATGTTTGCCAACCAAATTTATTTTAAAGCAGCTACTACTAGCAAAGGGCATTTCTACTAGGAGCAAGGACGCTACTAGTCCTCACTACTAGTAACAAGAAGCTACTAGGAATCATCCCTCTTCTCAACCGTCAAGAGTGCAAACGAGGAAAAGGCCGCTGGCCTTCTCGCTGATCACGTCTGAGGAACCGCTCCCAGTCAACTCCCAAAATCTCAGGGCAGATCTGCCAGGGCTTAACGTTACAATCTGAGCAAAGACCTCAGCTAGTAGTAACAGGTGCCACGCTACTAGTAACAGGTGCCTTACTAGTAGTAACAAGAAGCTACTGACTAGGAACAAGTGCCATCAAGTGCCCTGTAATTGTGCCAAAAGGGAAAGGGAGTCCTTATCGATGCCCTGGACGCTTCTCCAGCGCAACACCCTCAGCCCTGGGTGCCCAAACTGAGAGGTGAAGGGGCGTTTGGCTGCCTGGTAGCTGCCGGGTTCTGCTGACGCAAGTGTGCATTTGGCAGTACTCTTGCCAAAGTACTACTGTATATGTTATAGTCGTAATAATTTGGCAGTACTAATAATTAAGTAGTTATATCTTATTTCATAAAGAACGTGTTAGAACTTCAAGGGCTCAGCCTGACAGCTTCTCTTTGAAGGCATCCTCTACCGTGTTTGTTTGTCATGGTGCTTAGTGTCGACGTCGGTCTTTTTCTTGCCACAAACTTGCGCAATTTGCCTGCAGTAGAATTCCGCGCGCGCACTTGCTTTGTGCTATTGGGTTGGAGGCCATCGCAAGTAGGTTGGAGGCCATCCCTAGTAGGTTGGAGGTAGGTTAGAGGCCATCGCTAAGTAGGTTGAAGGCCATCGCTAGTAGGTTCGAGGCCATCGCTAGCAGGTTGGAGGCCCTCGCTAGTTAGTAGGTTGGAGGCACTAGGTTGGGGTTATTTTTGCATGTACAAGAGACCTGTGGCCTCAGTCTCTGAGGTTTGTCCCTCGGCCAGTTCAGTATTCCCTTCCGCTGGAGGATGTGGTGCACTTCCTCCAAGCTCGATTGCGGTCACTTGCCCTCACATGAAACATCATGACAATCGTTTGGATACCTCTAGACTCAGCAAACGCATAACAATCCCAAACTCCCAGGCTGCCGGACTGCAATGCTTGTGTTGCTTTTGACAACATCCAGAGCAAATACGCCTCAACTGAGCAAACAGCGATACTTGGATTGAGATCGGATGCAGTGCAAAGGGCCCTGGGAGTACACCGTGCGATATACCCTCAACTACTTAGGGTCTAGAATGGGCATACCTGCAGGTATGAGGAGGCTGAGGTCTAACATGATTAAAGGAATGTGTGTAGACCTTAAAATGTAAAACTCCTACTTCACAGTGGACCCCTTATATGGTGCGTGGGTTAAACACCTTGGACCTAACATGTTAGACCTCAGCCTCGTGGAGAAGGGGATGACCATCACATATTTGATGAAACACGATCCAGTCATCGTGAGATTAGATTGTGAGATTCAATAGGTTGATGTCCATTGTTCAAAACATCATCAAGTGTTGATGAATCATCACGATGTAGGACTATACATCGTACATCATCGTATGAACCCATTGAATGGCAGAAAGAAAGGCAGAAAGGGCATCGTGAATGGAATCCAAGCCAAGCGAGGACAGCTATCTTCTCAGCACTTTGGCCTGAGCGTGTGGTGGTGCTTGGCTTGGGTTGCTCCATCTACGGCGATGCTTTTGTGCTTGGCGAAGGCCAACTTGAGCTTCAGCCACAAAGATTTGTCCGAGTGAGAACTCACTGAAGTCTTGGAGGCAAGCTTCCGGCACTTCCACAAGAAGAGGGGACTGACGGTACCGAGCCAGCTGTAGACGAGGCCAGAGGTTTCATGTACATGTTGTACCAAGAATCTTCTGATGAATGGAGGTTGGGAACCTTCGAGCCTACTATGCTGCTCTCAAGGCACAGCAATTGATGAGCATAGCATAGCCTACAGTACTGCTACCTAGTACAAGCGTCCTTGTTACTACTAGTAAGGCACTTGTTACTAGAAGCGATGCACTTGTTACTACTGTAATAGCTTCTTGTTACTAATTATATTGTCATTTGGGTGCAACGGCTCTGGAAAGCATTCCGCGACTTGAGGTGGCCCTACAAAGTCGGCCCGAGAAGCTGGAGGCTCTCCTGACACCTGCGCAGGAAGCGGCAGACGCGGCTCAAGCAGAACTTCAAGAGCACCTTGACAATAGCAGTGATGGCCTCTACCCTTGTAGCAATGGCCTCCAACCTACTAACGGCGATGGCCTCCAACCTAGCGATGGCCTCCAATCTAGTAGCAATGGCCTCCAACCTAATATCCTTTCGTAGCCTCATAGCCTGCTGTAAACCCTTTCAGTTGGGTGTCGGTATAGGGTTTTGTTGTCGGTATGGGTGCCCCAACTACAGAGAAGCCGCGTGCATGGCAGCAGCCAGGAATTTGTTCGTACTTGTATTTTGTTGTCCTTTCAATTCTTCTGATTTCTTCCTCCATGTCTGAAGGAGGCAGCGTTTGAAGGTAGCATGAGATAACGCTGTGCCGTCCGGAGCCTGCCCTGAACTCTCGAGGATTGCAACGAAGCTGAGCGAGTTGGAAGCGCGCATGAAGCAGAAGGCTGAAGAAGCTGAAGCTGCAGGCGGAAAGGAAGCAAAGGAAACCAACCAGTAGTAGGTTGGAGCCACCGCTATTAGGTAAAGGAAGTCAAAGGAAACCAAGAAGACTTTCTAAGGATTATGGGAAAGATAGGGAAAGGGCCTATGGATCTGAAGGATCTATTTTGAAAGACATGTTCAAGGGTTTGGCCTTTCTCTCCTGAAGCAATTCAGTGGTTTGATGACATCCATAGGCTCAGACTTAGAATAAAACATATTAAAACACATTTTGTGGCACTGGGACTGCTGGGGGTTGGGTGTTCAATGATGAACAGCCCTTTTTTCACCAACTCTTCTATTTGCATGAGCAAGACCGCTAGATTCGCTAGATCTTAGAGCTTGAGGTCAGCGTGCCCCCAATCCCAGCAATTTGGAATCCGGCTTGGACCCTGACTGCTCCCCCACCCCAGGTGACGAGAAAGGGGCTGTGTAGTGATCCACTGAAGAGAGAGAGAGAGAGAGGGATACCAATGTACAAAGCCTGCCAGGCAATCCAACAATTTTTTGTGCGCTTCTTTCACCCTCTTCCTGCTGGTGTCTACCATCCAAAGCCAACCCCTGGCATATCGAATGTGAGGTCTTTCATTCTTTTGCCAGAGCTCCTTTGTGTCCGACCAGCTTTCCCTCGTGCAATCGCATAGAGACCACCATGCTCAGGGGCAAAGGCAGCTGCAGAGGCCACTGAAGCTACGGCTGGCATTTTGGTGGAAAGCGGCTTGGTGAAATTAGGAAGCAGGACACAATGCGATTTTCTTTTGTAAATCCCGGAGTATCGACATGAATTGAAGATACCTGCACGCGGGGGGCCTCCAGCACTTTTCTTTATTGTTCTTGATGCTGGCTTCTCATCATATCAGATCCTCACAAGCCATTCGTGAAGATTTCTGAAGCCAATCTGTGTGAGATTTCGGTCATAGCTGCGAGCCAAGGTGCAGCTGCGCTTGAAGACTTCGAGGCTGCTGAGGAAGCTGAGTTGCGCGACGTGCGAGACAGCTTGAAGAGCGCCGAAGAGAAAGCGAACGCCGCGCAGGTTGGGGGGTCGGATAGCTGTGGCCAGGTTCCGCGGTTCTCGGTTCAACCGCTTCCGAGGAGGATAAGTACTAATCCTCCACTATGTTGAACTTAGTGGGCCTCCACTATACTTGCTCCTAGTAGCGATGCCCTTTGTTCCTAGTAGCTTCTTGTTCCTAGTAGTAAGGCCAGGAGCCCTGTTCGTAGCGTCCTTACTCCTAGGACTATACTGTATACTGTATATACTTATATAACAATATATCTTATATGTAGTACTTATAGTGAACACTAGTGAACCCAGTGGAGCTTCTTCATAAAGAGGCCCCCATGTTCTGTGGACATGTGCCACATTTGTTTTTTGCTTTGCCAAGTTGCATTGCTTGCATAGCTCATTTCTGTAACATCTCATTCATCAGGCACACGTCCAAGAGATTCAGGGCCAGTTGGACAGCTGCCTGGCCAGCACTCAGCATTTGGAGAAGTGTGAGGCGCGGGATGCGGGGTTGACTTGCAGTGATCAGAAAAGTGTTTGGGCTCCTCTGGGGGCCTTATTAGCGCAGATGCTTTCTTTGTTTTGTCTCTTTTCTCTCTTCATTCCATCGTGAAAAACAGTCCCGGACCGTCCTCGCCATTTCTTGCCTGAAGAAGCGCCTCGCCAGGGGTCGGAAGAAGCCTTGACGGAGAAAGTGCACGACATGGTGTCGGCGGTGGAGGACCAAAGACGATGTCGAACATTCTAGCGCACTAGGAGCCAAGGACGCTACTAGGGGCTCCTGGCCTTACTACTAGGAACAAACTACTAGGGGCCCCTAAGAGTCTATGAAGACAACCGGACGCTGTGGCAATCTGTGGCACATGGTGTTCTGCCAAGCGGACTTGGAGTGCATGCATCACAGTGCAGAAGCAGTGCAGCCAGGCTGCAGCAGCTGCAGTGTTGGAAGCTCATCGCCCAAAGGCAACAGAAGCAACAGAAGCGGAAGAAGGCAAACGTGGACTTGTTTGGTTTCTCAGGTTTGCTTAAAGTGTGCTCACCTCTAACATGATGCGTACTGTAGCCTTGTAGCTATTGATCTTTGCGGCATGTGTTTGGTCCTTCCCACCGTTGGCTTGAGCTATGCCAAACCGTTGGCTTGCCGGGTGCCATGGTCCGAAGGTGCTGAAGCTCCAAAGACTGAAGCAGACGGCACAGGCAAGGAAGGGCAAGCCACAGAAGCCGCTCAGATCAACAGAAGCATCAACACAGCATCATCAACACACAGAATAGTTAGCAAATATTTGTGTTTTGTTTGTGAGTGTGAACGTTTCCTGATGAGATGATATTGGTGATGGGTGCACGTTAGCAACTGCATCACAGCCAAGGGCACCGAGGAGGAGGCCAAGGTAGAGCCAACCAAGAAGGCGGAAGAAGAGCTTCCGCAGGTGACAAGCTCGGTGCATTTCATCCCCTTGCTGCTGGAAACCAGCTTCGAGGCCCCGAGATTCAGATCGGTTTTGAACCTCTCATGGCCTCATGGTGGAGCCTGGTGGCCAGGCTGGCATGCCTGAGGATGATTTTCCCACGATGCGTGCTGCTTTTGCTGATGCCCTGCCAGATCCCAAGATCTCCCTCGCCTTACATGTTCGTGCTCTGTTGGCTTCCAGTAGGGGTTGAAACGGATTCGTTGCAAGCAAGCCTTTCGAGCAGGCCTCGGAAGGCCTTTGGGAGCATACCATTCTTAAATGAACACATTTTCATTTTTGGTAGTCGCTGCGACACCAGTTGCAGCTAGCATGGAGCATGATGCGGAGACATAATGATGCGGTCCACCTGACGAATGCTCAGGCCACCTCCACTTATTCCCAAGGAGCCGCCAATCCCACCACCTTCCTTGGCCCAGGCAGAGTGACAAAGCAGAATGGCTCGGTCAGATGAACGTCTTCCCCCAATTTGCAGTTGATGTTGAATTGATTTCGTTGACTCTTTTTGGTTGGTATTGGTCTTTAGTTGCTATGGCATGGTTAGGCCTACCTTGCATCTTTTCGTGTTTCTTGTTTTTTTCCTCTCACCTTGGGCACACTCAGATCTTTACGCCCCCTTGACTCCGTGGAAAGCGGTCAATTTCAGTGAAGTGCCACAAGACAAAGATATCGCTCCGCCAGCGATGGCCGAGCGCAGGTCGTGGAGCACCCCCCCGTGCGCTTGCCCCGGCCGAGCGTGCCACACTTCCAATTGCAGACCCCACGGGATGAAGCTCCAGAGGAAGGCAAGGAAGGCACGGTCGGCGGGACTTTGAGCTTGATACGAGCAGGATCGAAAAGGAGGGTGATGTGTTGGAGGCCATTGCTCTTGGGTTGGAGGCCATTGTTATTAGGTTCGAGGAAGTTGCTGCTGATCTGGGGAAATCCTTGTGGAACTCAAGTGGCCTGGTGCGGTTCAGGGCTCCAGTGAACCTAGAGACATTCGGCCCAGGTGATGGTGCAAGGAGCTTGAACGCAGATCGACAAGAGACACACACACAACAAAGAGAAAACAGATTAAAACACAAATTATGACAGTGACAGAACAGTTCACACATGCCGTTGTGCCTGTTAGTCAAAAAGTTGTGACAGTTGTTTCATACATTCTTGTTTCGTTTCATTCTTGTCAGTTGAGATCTGCTGATTCGGAAGGACAGACAGTAAGAAGCCTGCTGACAAAGACAAGACAGAACCAGTGGTTGAGGTGGGCAGACCTGGCAGTCGGCTGTGACTCCGAAGCCCTCGGCAGGTGAAGTTTGTTCATGTGCTTCCTTGAACTAGTAGGCAGCGATGGCCTCCACCTTCGTAGCGATCCAACCCAATAATGTGCTTTCTTGAAAGGTCTTCAAAGAGTGTCGAAGTGTCGTTGGAGTATGTTGGAGTGCTTGAAAACCGCTTTGTGGGTCTTGACTCTTCACGGCCTTGAACCTTTGCCTGCCGCAGGGGACTTACGGAATCAAACAAGAACGCTGGGCGTGACAATGTGATTCACGAAGATGTTCTCCGCCCCTGAGGAGATTGAGCAGCCAACACGCTGGCTCATTGAGCCACACGGACGTGTCCGCTTGCTGATGAAGTTCTTTTCGGAGGACAAGTTCGGTCGCCAAAGCGTGTCAGTTTACTTGAGAATTTCTTGAATCTCATCGAAGAGATGAATGTTGAGTCATTCAAGTTGCTTGCCAGGAGATCGGGAAGTACCAGACTTCTTTAGGCTTTGAAGTGGTTGGAGGCCTGATGGCTCTGATGACTTGCATAGCTTGCAGCTTTAGTATCGCAACAGATGCATTTGTGGAGAAAAATAGGTTCAACAGCGTTCAACGGTTTGATCACTTGACATCACTTTGTGATCCCTAGGTATCTACGGAAATGCGCCCGTCTCGATCGATGTGGAGGGAATTACCGCCTTCCCAGGCCGCATTTGAGCAACAGAGATCCTGATAAATTGGGGGATCTCACAGTGATTTACTGGCGAAGTCAGCACGCTAACACGGGTAGCGCTTCCCAAATGCATGCTGGAAGCGTTTTGGCAAGCCGTCAAGGGATAACCTGGCAATATGTAAATTTTAAAGTAAACACATTAAAGAAAACACTCCAACCTAATAGCGATGGCCTCCAACCAGCCATAGCAGTGCGAATTGCTTTCCGATCCTTTAGACCCGCCTGTTGAAGTCTTGTCGAGTCTCTGGTGAGACTTGGCTCGCTAGGCATCAGCAGTGATCCTCGGAATGTCTTCATGCGCCGTGTGAAGACCAAACCTGCGAGCGGATATGCCAGCAAACAGTACGTGGCTTCATCAGGCCGATGATTATTGATTCGACTGTGAGCATGTTCCAAAAGAATGATTGGAAGCACATGCAAAGAGGGGATGCATATTATACTGTAATTAGTACATATATAGATACATCAAAAAGCAAGCTACTATGTGAGATGTTACATTGAGTGAGGTTTTTAAAGGCTCGGCTGTGACTATGCGACCGTGACCAGAGGTATCTTTGAGTTTGGACCTCTTTTAGTCGGGCGCAGCCCTGACGCCAAGGATGAGGCGTCTTTTGGCATCAAATAGTCGTGGACCTGTTGAGGGTTTGGACCTCCAACCTAGAAGCAATGGTCTCCGGACTCCAACCTAGCGGTGGCCTCCAACCCACTAGCTGAGGTCCGAGCCGTACCTCAAGCAGCACATTGAGAACTTCCGAATTACCAACAACTCCTTTCTGAAGGCACAGAGAGACGTGGACGCACACTGTGAGGTTGGCATCGGCTTACTTCGATGGTTTTCCACAAAAGCTTCACTGCGTTATTTTCACTTCGTGATTCTGGATCATGTCTTATTGGAAGCATTGCCTGGTAGGCAGACGTGGCCTTCTCATTGGCATCCGCAGCGAAAGTTCCTGATGACCCCAAAGCCAAAGCAAAAGCAGCACCAGCACCCAGCTTGGAGGATTTGAGAGCCTAGAGGGCACGGCAAGATGCAGCAAGTGACGTCGTGTCCGAAAAATAACATATTGGAAGGAAACATATTTTTCAATTATTTGTATTTATTTGTTAATCATTTAGTTGATAGTTCCTTCAACGAAATATGCCAGGAGAAAAAGCGAGTGATAGGTTTCCGTCAAGGCTTCAATTTCAGCCTTCCGTTCAGGAGTTTCCTTTCACGATTGAGCCGAAGCAACTTGAGTTGGAGGTCGGAGAAACAAAGGAGCTTTCTGTATCATGCTTCCCAGTAGCTTGGTTTGAAGCATGTGAGCACCTGAGGAAATTCATGGGAAGAAGTAGGAAGGAACTTTGATGTTTTATCTTGACAACAGATATCCTTGCAGATCGAGTTGGGTTCACCCAAGAGAACGAGATCACCTTTCATGCAAGATCTTGTTCTCATGTCATTGGTGGTGTTGGTGGCAGAACGGGACAGAGCCCGTCTAAGATGACATACCAAGCTTGGTATTAGCATGAATGAATGCACAAACAGACGCTCATGCGGCAGTCCTTTGCCTTTTGCACCACGCGCCTGGTTCTTCCTCATGTTGCCATGCGATCTCCACTTTCGTACCAAAAGAACTCACGACGAGAAATGCGCTGTGTGTGGGAGCGTGGCGCATGCGTGACGGTGTGATTGTTTGTGTCGCATGATGTTGTGGTGTTGTTGGTTCAGGTCTTGTCCTATGGGATGGATATTCACGAAAGCTAGCCTTAGCTAGCTGGAGTTGCTCTTGCTTTAGCAAGTTAAGTGACGGGGTGGACGCACCTCAGAAACCTCAAATAATTGATTAAATCAATCTTATGGACCCCCCCCCCCCCCCGCGGTTCGACTCCCCTGCGCGCGGTGAGCGGGACCACCAAGCAGCTGCAGCACACCAAGCAGCAGCAGCGCCCAGCGCAGCAGCGGCAGCAGCAGCAGCAGCAGCAGCAGCACCAGCAGCAGACCACCGGAAGCCCGGCTAGCTTTCGTTCACCCCCTCTGGCCTCAAGTGTGCTGTCTTCCTTGCTCAGAGGCCACTGCACACCATCAACATCCACCAACCGGGTGGAACACCCACAGACCCGTGTGTTTGTCGCACATGAGTTGATGTGCATCCCACACAGACACAGAGGCAGCACACACACACCGCATTGTTTGCCGCTACGGGAGGCAAGTAAGTGGGTGCACTTGCAAGCATGAGTCGGAACGACGGTATCACACCAGCACATCGTTCACCATGAGGATGACGAGGTGTCAATCTTCTCTTTGGACTTTGGAGTAGTAACAAGAAGCTACTAGGAACAAGTGCATCGCTAACTAGTAACAAGTGCCTTACTAGTAGTAACAAGAAGCTATTAGCTTATTGTTCCTAGTAGCTTCTTGTTACTACTAGTAAGGCACCTGTTACTACAATTCTTTCAATCTCCAGTTGTGTCTAAGTCACGATTTGCCGCGGACAATGTTGGGATCGGTGGGGTCCTGCATACTCACGACCAAACGCGCCATTCTTCTTCTTCGATGCAGATCTCTTCGATATGCCCGCAAACACAGGCCACACTTTTGACAGTACTTCTTTTTGCTCACCACGCTTTTGGCCTCAGGAGCAAGGACGTTACTAGGGGCTCCTGGCCTTACTAGGAGCAAGGACCTACTAGGGGCTCCACGCTTTCTCCAAAACACAGACTTCACGTGGCCGTGACAATGCGGCACACGCACACACACACACACACACACACACACACACGCACACCCGTCTCCGGGGGTGCTTACCGGATCATTTGGCGTGGCAAGTACTGCATCAGCTCACTGCCTTTTGGACCATCCCGGCCACTCCACATGCGTCGCGCATCCGTTGCACACTCATGTGCGCTAGCTGTCAGATCTGTAGTGTAAGTAGCTTGGAACTTACTTGTTTGTTGATGAGTATTCTTTACAAGGTTTTTTTTGTTTTTCGGTGCTTTGTGCTTTGGCGGGTCTTGGAATTCAGTAGTAAGGTGAAAGAAGGAACCTACAGCGACACCATTGTAGCCACCATCACTGACAACCCTGATGCTGTTGAGTTTGCTATCGCTGCAATTGGAGCTTTGCCCAAGGCCCACCACCCGGCACAACAGTCATATCGAGTTGAGAGATCTCATACCATCAGACTGAGGAAACTGTCCGCTGTTGAATGTGTTCTTTTCGCTCTTTTTGCGTGCGACAGCTGTTCCCAATTTTCGGTTGAACAGATCTGACCTGATGTGAGAGTCGTGGCTAGACCATGTCAAGCCAGCATGGAAGGAACTTTTCTCAGGTCAGTGTGGATAACACCGAGCTGGACTTTGACCGGTTGCTGGTGAAACAGCGGGCGGCGCAAACATTGAAGGCCCGAATCGGGGGGCACCCAGAGTTTCACCGCGAGGCAGCATGAGGCAGCTACTGATAGAACGTTTTTGACAAGACTAAATACCTTCGACCATCGCTAGTAGGTTGGAGGCCATTGCTCTTAGGTCCGAGGCCATCGCTCTTAGGTAGGAGGCTTTGTTACATTGTTGGAGGTCTCCAACGTCTCCGCTGTGCCTGTCAAGTGGCAGTTTGAGGTGTGGACTGGGGTGTTTGTGGTGTGTCAGTGGGCGCCCCTACGGCGCAGGATGTGCCACTGCCACTACGGCGGTTGGCGGAGGCCAATCATTCTCCGTAGTAATGCTTTGTCAGGCGACTCCTTCAGTTCCAGAAGGCTTCGAAGTCACCACGATGGAGGGTTTGACCCTTGGACACCGCAGCATGTCACAGGCATTTGAACCGTTGCAGTCACGTGTCACTGGTGCTTTTCATTTAGTGATCGCAGTGAGGTGTGCTGGCAGTGGGTGAGGAGAAACTTATCAGTGTGATCTTCAAGTCGGAGACCGCCTGCGTACACAAGTTCAAGCTTACTCTGCAGATCTCTGATGTGGAAGGCTTGCGGAGCTGGGAGAATGCTGCCGAGCTCAATGTCCAGGCCGAAGCCTTCGTGGTGGATGTGGTGCCGCAGTTTCCGGAGGAAGCGACCGGCTTGGACTTTGGTGATGTGCGAGTCGGCGAACTGGTCGAGAAGAGCTTCCAGGTTGGGTTTTGAAACGGAGGGAAGGGGGTGGCTGAGGGGTAGACCGGGTAGACATCAGATGCTCAGATGGGTGCTCAGATGCTCACAGACCTCGTGCGGTCAGGCAATACAGGACCCTGAAGGTCATATTGGTGAGGAAAGTGGTCCTGAAAGGTAGAAGGTCTTAGGCCGGGGAATGGTAGAGAGGAGTGCAGGGTTGGGAGCGTGAGCAAACCTGAGCAAGCATGAACAAATACTATTTCTATGGTCCTATGGTAGTTCTCAGCTAACGATACTTCTACATTTCTAGGGTTTCCTCAGCCAATGTACTTGTCATACTGTTTACGATTCATGCCACTGAACTCAGGTAGTATGGCATGGTATGCTTGATCTAAAAGGTTGCCGGTATTTTTTCCTTACAGGCTTTGGCAAGTCATACGTACCAGGTGGCAAACAACGGGAAGTATCCGGTGAAGTTCCAGCTCCATATTCGGCGGAAGAGCGTCCGAGAGCTCGTGCAGATCGACTACGGCGTGCCGTTGGAGGAGCCTCAAATGTCAGTCTCGGAGAAGCCAGCATTCCAACAAGTACAAGTACAAAACTGTACAATAATACAAGACTGTGGCCATGTGAAGTTGAAAAGCCTTTCACATTCAGAACTTCCTATGTGCAACTTCATGTGCAACATTGAACAATGTATATCCCCGAGGGGCAATAAGGACCGTCTCGACAGGACGAGTCAAGGGAAGACCACCAATTATATTCTATAGCTTCTTATTGTTACTAATAGCTTCTTGTTACTACTAGTAAGACACTTGTTACTAGTAGCGATGCACTTGTTAGTAATAGCGTCCAATTCAGCAGGAAAGGCTGAGTATGGATCATGAGATATCATCAGCATCATGGAGCGGATCATGCGGGATGCTGAACTGAGGAGGGGCAGCTTCCAGAGCTACAACCCGGTCAGAAGCTACCCATCAAGGTAGAACGGGGAGAGACTTCTTGCTTGACCCAATAGTCATCAATGTTCTCTAGTGTTGACTCACCAGTTCAGGTGGGCAGTTCGGCTCTAGAATGTGTCACCAGAACAGCCCCTCACAGCGCCGCAGGCAACAGCGAGTGCACCTGTGGCCATCCAATTTCCTGAACCCAAGAAACAGGGCAGACGCAGAAATGAGGACCGCCTGAAGTGACCCAGAGGAATCAGGTGAGCTATGAGCTTTTGATCCTGTTGGATGCATGATCGAATCGGGGTTTCAACATATCCTGAGAATATGTATAATGTATATAGTATATAGTAGTATATATAGGTCACTTTAAATCTGTGGTGTCCTTTTCCGCTCAAGGCATGATAGAGCGGATTCTCCATGTCGGCAAGGGGCTCACTGCCCTGTCTGACTTGTCGTTCCGCTGGGCCTGTCCTCTCCACTGCTCCTCCTCGGTCTTGCCCTGGCTCTTTCTGGGCATTCTCCTTGGGTTTCTCCTGGCCTTCCTGCTTGGTCTCCTCCTTGCCTTTTCTGTCTTGAAGGTCTTCAGGCCATCTGTTGAGGTTGCTGGAGGTGGACCTTTTGCGGAAGCTGGAGTGGTCAGGCCGGCACATTTGTCAAAGAGGCTTCGACTGGCTGGATATCTTGAATGAGCGTCCCTGCCACACGTGCTGGCATTGAGTCACTGGTGGCGGCTGTCAATCGGCTGACTTTGGCGTTTGAAAGAGCAGAAGCTGCTACATCCTCGTCTACTACCGTTCAGGTGCCCATCATCTCTCAGGCGTGTTGGGAACTTGTGGAACCTCCTGCTCACACTCCCTGGGCTGTGCCTACTACGTTCACTGGTGTGGAAGAGGGCCCCACCAAGATCCCTCATTCGCTTCTGGTGTCAGCGGCTTCGGAGATTTCCTCGGTTGTTGGCAAGCCAGAGGATCGTGTCCAACGGGCTTGGCGCTCAGGCTCTTGCTTGGTGAACCATACCGAGTACGAGCAGCTGGAAAGCCTTGGCTCATTGTCTGATACTCAGTGGGTGATCATCCGGGCTCCTTCACTCAGCAGCCCAGTCAGGGTCCGCAAGGTCTCTGAACTTCGTGCTCTATTAGCAGTTGCTCCTCGTGGAGATTGTGGTCCCATCTACCAAGGCTTCCCCTCGCTTACTGAGGTGCAAGTGTTCTGTGCTGCAGCTGGCATTGATACACCTCCAGTGTTTCAATGCAGTACTCACAAGTGAAGATGTCAGGGTCCGGGCCAGATCATACGCTCCTTGTGGTTGGCCTGGACTTTTTGGTGGAAGGAGCAACAGTTGAGGTATATGGAGTCCCTCTTCTCGGTCGTGGTGATGGGTTTTTGATTTGCCTGCCTCATGGGGTCATCGACGACACTATGATGTTGGAGGGCAACTATCCTGCTTCCTATCCTTCTTGGCTGGGAGTTGGCTCCATGTTTGAAGTGGCTTTGGTGGAGGAGGCGGACGATGGGAGTGTCGTCCCTTTGGGTGTTGCTGGCCCTGTCTCAGTGATTGATGTTGGGAATGAGTTGCTCGCCTTTTGTCGTGAGTACGATCCAGTCACGGACAGCGATGCAGAGATCACCCCGTTCCATGATGCTTCGTACAAGCGTTGCCTGATGTCTCAGTCCTGACTCCTTTGGTGACAAGTTGGGTGGCTGAACGTGGTGATGGCGGAGCTCCTTTTCTCTCGGCTCAAGAGGACCCGCGTGGAGTGTCGCCTGTAGCTGCAAAGGCAAGTGCAAAGAAAGCGGCTGCAAAACGAATCACAAATGCTGCCCTGCTGGAACAGTTGAACCTCCTTGTGGCCCAAGTCCAGGTGATCTCAACAAGACAAGATGCCCTGGAGAAAGCAACTTCCTCGAAGCCCTCTGCAAAGGGTGCCGGAGAACAGCACGCTGGCAGATCAGTCAGGTTTCCGGCTTTGTCAGACGGCCTCAATTCCGGGGTTGGCCCTCCTTTGTCCGCGCCGAAAGTTCTGGAGATGGTTGGGCCTCCGCCCAAAACTCAGCTTCATCGGACAGTGTCGACTCCCCAGCTGGCTTTGAACCAAGAGGAGCCCAATGCACTTCTTTTGGGAGGTGGAGATTTAGGTCAAGATCCTGGCCATATTGTGACAGCACTCAGTCAGCAATCGACGGCCATTGCGGCCCTGGTGGCGCATCTAACACAGCAGGATCCTATGGCAGACCTGTCCTCAAGCTCTCACAGTACCTCCTCGATGAAAGGGGTGATGCGAAGGGAGAAACTTCAGTCCGACCTGGCTTCCAGATCCGGGAACTTTTTCCTCCTGTTGATGCAACAAGTGCACAAGCGCCTACATCCTGGCAGGCCTCTTCCGAAGACGGACGACGACCTCAGCTCTCTGTCCTTATTGGAATACCTGGAGAAATCAGGGGGCTACAAGAACCAGAGGAGTTTGGGACTTGTGCAGTGTGGATGGTCGCTCATGCTGCCGATGCGGCCGCCCACGACGACATGGTAGGGTGCCGGGAGCATCTGGCTTTGTTGGCCATGGCGGTCGAGAAACTACGATGGAGGCAATTGGACAGTTGCTTATTTGATCAGCCTTCTCGAGGAGCCTCCGATCACGATGTTTCAAGAGAGGTCTCTAGCTGTCTCATCGACAAGCCGCCCCTTCAGCCCATTGATACCTCCTACATGGACGGCTACAACTTTGGGTTATCTGAAGGACATCGAGGTTCGAGCAAACAAGAAGCCCGAGGTCAAGAAGCCCAACTTCCAGAAGAATGTCGAGGGAGGCGAACCCACCTTCGCCGAAGAGGAAGCCTCGCTTTCCTCACAAGCCAAAGGCTGCCCCGGAAGGGGCTCAGCAGTGAGAAGTGGAGATGGATGCATGCTTGACCGGGTTCCCATGATGGCCTTTGAAGAATCCGGTCCTTCACGAATTCAGGCACCGAAGAGCAAAGGCTTTGGTGCTGCTTTGGACCCCCTTGATGACAAGGGCGATGCCCTTTTTCCTTCTTCGAGGGTCCCGAGATCTTTTACCTTTTGGGATTGGTGTGCTACATTGGTTCCCAATGTTCTGAGGACAAGAACACCATTCTCTGCATTTTTGTCGTTTTCTCTCAAATTGCATCGGAGCGATCAGCCTTCGACACCGCAGCTCTTCCCTGTGCCAGTGCCTTTTCCAGGCATTTTCAACAGGATGCCGACAGGTCTCTCACTTCGTGACAGGAGAAGGATCCTTCTCAAGCGGGTCCTCCATGTTATGGTGATGGCTCTGAACTTTCTTCATGATGGTTTGAGGAGTTTTCCTTGTGAGAAGGCTTTGTCGAGATGCCCGTCTTCCGCCCATAGAAGCATTTATCGGAAGATTCAAGGTATTTTGGCTGCGGATGGCCCTGGTTCAGGACAGATTGATGTCTTGTCGAGTGGCCGACGTTTTCCTCAATTGATTGCACGCTTGGGTGAACTGTCAAGCATTGTGACGAAGCTTGGCGCCTGCGGCCCCTATGGGCATCAATTCCAGGGGCATGAAGTACCTCTTGATAGTGAAGCTCTTCCTGAGCTTCGCCCTTATCGCTCCCTGGACTCTAGCAGGTTGAAGCTGAGTGGTACTGGTGCCTTTGATGCCACCGAGTTCCTTGATGATGATCTTTGTATGGCATACCGATGTCCCGACCTCATCCTTTCTTGCAGAGAGCCGGCTCCTGGAACTTTTCCTGGTTACAACGACCCTCCAGATGAAGTTTTGAAGCTGGCCAGGATCTGGGACAGTCAAGGACTTCTTCGTATTCATGAAGTGCCGCAGAGATCCTTTTGGCTTTCCAGGGTGTTTAACAATTACAAGAGCATTGACGCTGACCGCCAAATCGGCGACAGGAGGGGTCGAAATTTTGCTGAAGATCGCTTGTTGGGACCATCTTCGAGACTTCCCAGCGGTTCAGACCTCGCCGAGATCAGCCTGAACGCGAGAAAGCAATGCCTACGTGTAGCCTGCACGGACAGAAAGGATTTTTATCATCAATTTAGAGTCTCTGATGACAAAGCAGCTGCTAACTCTGTCGGCCCTGCTCTCCGTGAAGACCAGCTACATGATCTTGGTAAGAGGAGGAGGAGATCAGCAGTTGGGGATATGCTACATGGTGATGAATCATGGATGCACCTTTGGCCTCGCCCCCCTCTTTTGTTGCATGGTGAGGTATACATAGCTTTTGGTGCCATTTTTCAGGGGGATCATGGAGGTGTTGAGTTTGCAACTCAGGCTCATGAGAACCTTCTGAAGTCCGTAGGGCTTCTGAATGATGGTTCGCGGCTGGAGGCAAACAGACCTATTTCTGGATCATCGCTCGTTGAAGGGCTTGTCATTGATGATTATTTTGCTATCTCTGTCGAGGACCGATCCTTGCCACCAGGTGAGTCGCAGTCGTCTTTTTGCTTTGAACAGAGCCAGAAAGTCTACGACGCCTACAAGATCCTGGGAACTCCGCACAAAGATGTGAAAGGGGAAGTTAGAAGCAAAGTCTGCACTCAGGGTGTCACTACATGTGGGGCACCCATAGCAAAGAGGCTGAGTCTTAGCACCATGACCCTACAGTTGGCTCAGCTTTCCCATACCTCGGATGCCCTCCATCTGTGCCTTCTGGGAGCTTGGACATCAGTTATGCTGTATCGCCGCCCCCTAATGGGCATTTTTGCAGTGGCTCATAGTTTGGTGGATGCCTCCCAGGTTGACGGAATGCATCCGAAGACGTTTCCTTTGTCGAGGAGAGTGGCAAATGAGCTAGTGGTTGCATCGGCGCTCGCCTGTCTCAGATCTAGGGGCTCTGTTTGATGAGACGGTGTACTCAACCGACGCTTCAGACACACATGGGGCTATCACGTCCACAACCTTGCCGGCTCCTCACATTGAGCAGCTATGGAGAGCTTGTCGTTCAAAAGGTGCCTACAGTCGTTTGAAGACCCCTTTCGAGAGTCTCATGCTTCGCTTGGGGGCTGGGAAGGTGTTGACGACGAAGTTGCATCAGTTGAACCTCAAGGGAGGGTTGAACGGCCTGTAGCTTTTTCATATGATTTTCTGGAAGTTTTTGCTGGATCTTCGAAGGTGACAAAGGCTGCAGCTCTCCTTGGTTTGGTGGTGGGGCCGCCTATTGACATATCATATTCAGGTGAGCTGGACCTTTGTTTGGTGCGTGTGTTTTCCTGGATTACATACATGCTTAGCTCCTACCACCCGAAAAGTGTCATGGTCGAGCCTGTTTGCGCAAGCTTTTCATTGATGAGAAGGCCTGCTCTACGATCAAAGTTGAGCCCCTTTGGCTTTGATGTGGACGATGAGCAGACACGGATTGGGAACATTCTGGCTTTGAGAGCTATTGCAATCATACAGTTGTGTCATGCGCTCTTCTTGCCTGGTCTCCTTGAGCAACCCTGGAGTGGGATGATGCGCTATCTTCCTCAGTGGTTGGCGCTTGAGAAAAGGAGAAAGTGTGCGTACAAAGGTGCGACTCCTGTGCTTATGGGTCACCGCACCTAAAGAGTTTCCGATTCCTGGCCGCTCATATGGATATAAGCAGGCTCACTCGAAGATGCTCGAAGGACCACCACCATATCACTGTCGAGGGCAAGTACACGAAGGCCTCTGCTTCTTACACGGATGACCTTGCTCATGAGATTGCTCTTTGCTTCAAGGAGGCTATTCTCCGGAGAAAAAGAAGTACGACACTATGCTGGTCAAAGGCTTGGAGAACCAGTATGTGAACCTAGTTGCTCTGGCTCGAGAGTGGCGTGAAGAGCGCTCTTGGGCCTTCCGATCGTCGAGGCATATCAATCCATGAGATGTCATCTCTGCTTCGACTTGCTGAGGAAAAGGCTAAAGCTCCAACTTCTCTCCGGCTTGTGAACTTCGTCGACTCCAATGTAGTCAGGTGTGCAGCATCAAAAGGGAGATCTTCATCCTGCGCTTTGACATCTCTGCTCTTCAAATACAATGCAATTTGTCTTGCAGGAGGCTTATACTTTACATTGCCTTTTGTGCCTACAGGGATGAATACCTCAGATGACCCGACAAGAGGCAGAGAAGTCAGATCTCCTGGCAGCAACTTGAACATTGCCGATCTTGACAAGGAGCAGATCCGTGCTTTGCTAGCAGTCCCTCCTCTGCGACGTTGGGCTTCCAACTGGGTGAGGTTCGTTTTTGGACTTACTGGATTTTCTCTTTTGGACTTTCAATCACCCGGTCGTCGCAATCATGGCCTTGCCTGGCCCTCTCAAATGTCACAATGCGCATACGGCTCCCTCCTTCCTTCGAGACAGATTGGCCATTCCGTGGATTTTGATGCCACTCTTGGATTTCCTGGCGAAGGTCCTTCCTGCTTCTTTCCTCTCTCCCTCCTGGCAGGCCCAGCTCTTACAGTACTTTGTGTTCTCCCCGCGGTAGTTAGTTCTGCCCCGAGCCATGGATGTTTTGGACCTGTCACCCCTGGAGATTGGAAGAGAGCCCAACTGCGCCAGACAAAGCCGCCACTTCCAAAAGGACGTCCGGTGACGGACCTCGCCTCGGCTTCGAGAGAGAGGCTCCTCAAGCTCTTTTTGGAGTGGTGTGAAGAAACTGGCATTAGCATTGGCTTGTTTCTGCAGGAACCTTCGAGGCATGTTGAGCAGATAAATGAAGCACTTCTGTTGTTTGGCCGCCGCCTTTATGAAGCAGGCAAAACGTATTCACACTACGTTGAGACAATCAACAGTATAGCAAGCTTCAAACCGATCCTTAGAAGACAGCTCCAGGCCTCCTGGGACTTGGCATTCAGTTGGGTGAGGGAGGAAAAGCCCTCACATCACATTGCTATGCCTTGGCAAATCCTTTTAGCCATTCTGTCGGTCGCGCTTTCGTGGGGATGGTTGAGTGTCGCTGGCCTATTGGCCCTTGGCAGGGGCCCTTGGTTGGGGATCGTTATTGAGAACAGTGAAATGACGCATGCCCTCCGTAGCGACTTGTTGCTGCCCGTGGACACCTTCTTTTCCAATAGGTACGCCCTGTTGGCCTTGAGGGAACCCAAAACAAGGTTCGTTTCTGCACGACATCAGTCTTCGAAGTTGGATATACCGGATTTGTTATCCCTGGTTGAGTTAGCTTTTTCACACTTGGAGAGCCACCAGCGGCTCTGGCCTTTTTCCGACCAGACGCTTCGACACCGGTTCGCTGACATTTTAAAGGTGCTTCATCTTGATGCGGCTGCCCTCCAGTGTCGCAAAACACTGGATCTTGGATCCTTGAGGCCGGGAGGCGCAACTTGGATGATGCAGACTTGCGAGGATAGCGAACTGGTCAGAAGACGTGGACGTTGGTTGAACCATAGAGTGATGGAAATATACATCCAGGAGATTACTAGTATGCAACTTCTTTTGCCCATGTCGGCTGCTCAGAGATCTTTTGTTTTGGGTGTCGCTGCAACTTTCCCTACAGTGCTGGAACAAGCTAAACTTTTTTCAGCGTGCAAAGATCCCTACAAAAACGTGGTATGCCCTGATGAAGACGAAGCCTATGGCTGAAAAGTTGGGTCGAGATGAATAGATTGAAAGTGACTCCGTGTTGGTTGGATGGAGTGGGCATGTGCTATGCCAAATGGCATTCACGGTGGAGACCAACATGCAAGAGAGAAAAGAAGCAGCTGAAGATTTGTCACTTTAAATCTGTGGTGTCCTTTTCCGCTCAAGGCACCCTCCCAAGAACCCGCCCTCTCTTCATCAGGGCATGTGCTATGCCACATGGCATTCACGGTGGTGCAAGAGAGAAAAGAAGCAGCTGAAGATTTATATATATATATATATTCAGTATACAAATGAAATTTGGATAGGTAATCTTTCCACAATGAACTCCCACTGCTTGGAAACAGCAGGAGCTGGAACTCTTGGTCTATGACACCAAGACAGGCTTGATGCTAGACTACCAGAGTTTGCACTTTCTTCCCTTCTGTAATTAGGCTTCTACATTCTTGCATCCCAGAGCTTAGCCAATACGAGACGTTCTTGCTTTAACATGCTCTCCGCGGGAATATTTTTACATTTGGAACTTCATGGGACTGGGGATGACTGTGCGCAGGTGACCGCGTACAAGTTGAGACTCCGCTGATTCCATTGATTCTGCGCGCCGTTTCTCAGCTGCACTGGGTTTCACAACTTGACTTCAAGACCTGCATAGGTACAACGATTACCAAGACATTAACACCGCACAATGTGCATCCTTTTCGTGGCAGATTTTTCTGATTCATAAGAACACCATTCATGAGCGAATCAATGGTTCAAGGAATCCTTCAAGGAAGCTCCCCCCAGCCCTCACGCGGGGGAGATTCCTTGAAGCCCAAAGTTGAGAGGGCGTCCTGGTGCCTAGTAGCGGCCTACTTAATAGACTCAATAGACACGACTTAGATACCTAAAGTTACTTACTACTCATATATGCATTCCTTTTAGCACACACTACGGCGTACCCCCTCCCCCCAGCTTCACGAGACACATCCATCGCTGATTATCGACGTATTTTTCGGATTAGCTGGTCAACCTGGGACGACCTCTCTGGCAGGTCTACAACTCCTTCAGCCTGATCCCAGCTGATGGTCTCAACTTCGGACCGGTCAAGATCCTCGCAAAAAAGTGAATGTATTTTACACTAAATCTACTAGGAACAAGGACGCTATGCTCGGTGGAGGCCAGCGCAAGTAGGTTGGAGGCCATCGCTACGAACGTGACAAGAAGCTACTATAGTAATTGAATGGTATAATTTCAATCAATATTGGGTTAGTTGCAACGTTTCGCCTCAGGGTCCTCAGGGATATATGGGGCCTCTTCACAGTGCCAGTGACGCTAACTACACGAGAGCTCCGCACACTTTTCTTTCGGCTTCGCCTGAGGATCGGGGAGTCCGGCACTCGCGAGCTGGAGATTTGCAACGACGGACCTTTCAAGCGAAGACCCTCAGAGATGCAAACCTCCAGCCTTTGCTCTCAAAAACGCAGCCGGTGAAGGGAAGAAAGGACAAGAAAAGACCAGAAAAGAGGACAACTATTAACGGTCTGACGGCCAAACGGTCTAAAGAAATGTAAAAGGAAGCTCTGATATTGCATGGAAGCCATGGTGGGGCCAGGTTTGACTGGTTCATTTTCGATGCAGAAGGAGGTGTCAAGAAACCAGAGCTGCCCTTAGAGTCCGGCGTCATGTATTCTTTTTGTGAAAAAGCACTAGACCTCTCTTGCAGCCTCTCGATCAGCGAAGGTGAGGCTGGTTTGTTGCCAAGGAGACGGCTGACTTTGTTTTGGGAGACTTCAAGCTGAGCCCTGGTGCAGGTGCGGCGACTGGGGCCTCGACTACGGCCTCTAACCTAACAGCGATGGCCTCCAACCTAAAGTCTCATGACTTGCGGACAAGTGGCAAGACTTGAAACAAGAAGGCAAAAAGACCGTCAAAGAAGGAACTAGGGGAAGACCGCAAAGCATTGCCAATTTTTTTTCTCTTGCAATGGCTTGAGACCACGCATGCGGGGAGGATCCTTGGCACCCAAAGAGACGGCCAAAGTCATCGGCACTTTCACTGCAACGGAGCCTAAGAACTGTCGCAGCCTTAAGAACAAACTCGCGAAAACCTTGCAAATTGGTTTAGCTCGTTTTGGGCACAGGTCGTCCTGCACATGTCGACCTTGTTTGATGATAAATTCTGTTGCTTCATTGGATCAGTCAACGTGTGGACCCGTTCCAGCTGCCTGCAGTAGCAATAAACGGCTTCTCACCTTCATGTGGGGATTTGGCTGATTGTGAGTGTTTGGCCTCCAACGTCCTTCAACCTATTAGGAAATGGCCTCCAACCTAATAGCGAGCCTCCAACCCCATAGAGTTGACCCGTTCTGTTCCTTTGACTTCGGCAAGGTCCTAAACGTTCAGTTGCTTCGTGAGATTGCTTCACAGTGTGATATCTAAGAGTCTGAGGGCATCATCAGATTGGGATCCACGTGCCGGGCCTGCAAGAAGATGCTAGCGACAGCATTGACCTCAGGGTAAGCTGATTGATTTCTTATGCATGGTGTTTTCTTTGCCTGGCTTTCTTTACACATGTGTTTGGGCATGAGGTCGACGCGGAGAAGGGGCGAGGGACCCAAGAGAATCCCTCACGCCGTCGAACTATACACGTCAGTTCCCTTTGTTTTCGGTTCAGGACGGGGACACCGGATACAAGGAATACCTGCTCTCAGCCCAAAGTGCAACCCCAGGCGATCATTTCCGTTTGCAGTGTGGGTGTCGAATGGTGTCGAAACTCTTTTCAAATTTGCACGAGGCATTGATGCTGGGAATGTTCATAGCATCTTCGAGGAGCACTATGTTGCACCCACTCTGGAGGATGCTGTAGTACCTCGGAGAGTGTGGCGGAGTGTGGCTGAATGACGGAAATCTGACCCAAGGTTCATGGTTCATCCAAAATTTGAGAGTTACATGCTAATCTTTGATTTACTAGGAGCAAGGACGCTACTAGGAGCAAAGGGCATCGCTACTAGGAGCGATCGGACGCTACGAACGGGGCTCCCTGTGTCGAACTCAAAGAGTTTCGAAGGGTGAGCCGGCAAAACTTCCGAGGCATTTGCGGGACGCCTGGCCATTCGAGCTTTCGATGAGGAAGCCCGGTACTTTTCCTTTGGACCACTTCCAGTACAAGGTGAGGTGTGTGGGGTGTGCTATGAAAAAGCGCTATTAGGTTGGAGGCCATCGCTCTTTGGTTTAAGACCCAGTCGGACAGGCCAATCATCCGACCCACCAGATCCAGCAAGATTCCGCATCACAAATCCGCAGCTTGGTAGAGGTTTGGGTGAATCTTTGTGAACTTGGAACATCGTGCCACCAAGCATACACAAGTTTGGGAGCAGATGAAAACGGCTGCGCGCGTCACGTTCAAGCGTCGCGTTTCAGGAATCCTATCGCCTGCGATGTGAAGCATTTTAGCCGCAATTATTTGCAATTAGCGCAGGTCTGCCAATTCTGGATAGCCATGAGTAGTGGGAAGGATTGGTCAGCTAGCTGTGGGTCAGGCCAATCGAGATGCCATTCCCAGGTTTGAGATAAAACCCACAGCTGTGGTGGGCAAAGATGCACCGGTCTTGCCTTTTGAGCTGTCCAGCAAGGACCGCTAGGGATGAGCTTGTGATTTGTAGCTTCACTTGACTCAGACAGTCCGGTCGGAGGAGCTTCACATCCCACCGCATGAGTACCGCTACATCAAGGTCCGCTTCACACCACAGGCTGGTAGTTGCGAGCCAGGAAGGTCGTGGCTTTCCTCAAGTTTGCTCTGGCCTTGCGTTCTGTGTGGAAGAATCAGTTTGTGTCACGTGAGATGCCGTACTGGCAGAAGTGTTTTTTGCTTGACATGGTGAGTTTTGCCCTTAAAACATGTTGGTTGTGTACACCAGAAGGCTTTGCAGAGATATTCTGCCATCTTCGAAGCAACAGTCCCTGAGGGGAAGGACAGATTGACGGAGCTGTCATAATGGAAACAAGGGCAGTAGGCAGTACCTTCATGCACTTCTTTCTGATGTCTACCATGTCATCTCCCTTGTTTGTGGGTCAGAAATTGTTCGATTCGCTTGAGGATCCCAAGACAAACATTCTCAAATTTGAGATCCTTGTCTTAAACCGCACGCTGCGGTCACATCATCATTGATGATGTTGATGATGGGTTTGTATGCCCCTTTGACCTTAGTTGAAGACAGTCATCACTAGCCATTAGAAAAGCATACCCTGCCGCGCGCCAGCCACTTTTTCATTTCTGAGTTGAAGTGCAAAAAATCACTGATAATTAGCAACGCGTTAATACGTGTTATATATAATATAGAGGAGGACTTAGATAGTCTCAATGAGATTCTAAGAACCTTCTGGTTTTTGCTGTCCAGATCATGGACTGTGAAGATTGTATTCTTGTTTGACGGGCATGATCTGCATGTGTTTTTGAACAACGTGTTGTGATGTGTTTTGTAAGGATACGAGGCGATGGTGCAATGCCATCAATCGCACTGAGCGGCCCTACAATTTTTGGTGACAGTGGTGGCCAGCACCGTGCTTAAAGTTGAGGAATGTGCTTGCCCAGAGGCCTGGTCTAGTCTAGTGGCTATGACGCATCCCTCATGCGTAGGACCTGGATTCCATCCCCGGGTGCAACACTAGGCGGACAGGCGGGCCACTGCCCCGCCCCAGCATTTAAGGGGATGAGCTGGGGTGTGGACCGTTAAAATAATGTGATTTCTCACAGCCTGAAGCCCAGACAATGCTCACTACTAGCTGCTTACTGACTAGGCATCTAGATCTCGGCCAACGCTCAACACCTTTCAGATCTTCTTTCACTTTGGAAACGAACCACCTTTTCATTTTTAGTTTTACTCTGACTCTTTCTGTGGGTGGCCCGCTGCATCTTGAGCAGCTGAGGTATGACTTTGGCAGAGGTCGCATTGGAAAGCGGCAGTCTGTTGAGTTCACCCTCTACAATCAGGGTGATATCCCAGCAGCGGCTCGTTTCGACGCTCGTGTTTGCACCTCAGGAGTGAGAGCTAGGGCCACCAACTGACTGACACCTCTAATTGCTATAATGTAGGTGGATAGTTCATGGAAGCAGAGACTGGTTTATGTTTTTGTTGAAGGCCAGCTCATTGCAAAAGATCATGAATTGGGATTACTTGGTTTTGTCATGGAGAGAGGGGGGGAGCACTGTGAGACTTTAAAGATCCAAGACATCCGAAGACATGGCAAGACATGGCCCAGGCCGCTTCAGACCGCCCTGCGTTCCACGGTGCAGACTAACCCTGCGACTCAGGAACTCTCTCAGAGTCCCCACTTCACCTTGAGCTGTCCGCGGCGAATCACTTTAGAACCCAAGGCCGCCTTTGGCTGTTGGTCATTCCGCTGATGTCATCACTACATCGTAGTATCCAAGTGGCCGCCTGGTAGAGCACGCAAGTACTGACTTGTGGCTACTTTATGAGTACTAGACATGAATAGCCGAATAGCTCATTATTTGCTTCTTGTTCTTGCCTGTGCCCCATGCATATGGTGCACGTGTTGCATGACTCATGAGGCCATTTGATAGGCTCACGCGGCTAGATTGTTGAAGGATTTTAAGATCAAAGCAAATCAAAGCCACTTTGCTCCTGCGAAGGCATCGCAGAAGTTTCAAGTCTTCTTTTCACCTACTGAGCGCCTTGGCCAGGTCTAGTCCTGACACTGGACATTGTTGTAGTGAATTTTGGGGTGAGCTTGGGTTGATTGGTGGACGAGAATTGTTTTCATCTGTGTGCCTGAAGAATTTGTAAGAAATCCTGCCCCAGCCGAGACCAGAGCATCGAGAACGGAAGCCAAAAACAACAATTACTGTACTGTATGTGCAATTATTCATAGTTGGTGAAAGGTTTCTTTCAAAAGACACCAACACCATGCAGAGAATATGGATCTTGGGAATTCTTGGGAACAAGCTACAGACACTGCGCTAACAGTAGCAACCCCCCCCTCACATGCTTTGCACCCGGTGCTGCCGCTTCTTTCCAGGCTCGGAGACTTGAGCAGCTCTCTCCAGCTTCAAACTGCGCAGAATCCCTACGAGGAGGGGCACCCATTAGACTTGAAGTAGGGGCACCCATTTGCACTTGTTCATTTGTGCATCCAACTGTTTTTGGTTTACTCAGTGAATGTCCGGGGTAGGGAAGGATCACCCAAACATGTCGAAGCAAGTACTCCACTCCAGAACGGCAAAGATTGTCTCCCCAAAAGCAGGTACACACACAAAGAGCTAAAGAGTGTGAGCAAAGAATCAATCCACCTGAGGGGTCCGTGAGGCAAGAGCAGCAGAAGAATATGCGGGTATATGTTTTTTGGTGAAATGCCAGGGCAGACTCCGGTGAGCGTCCTAGCGCTAGGACGCTCGGGTGACCTTTGTGGGACAGGGCTACAAGGAAGAAGTGTCCTGGGAGCTGCCGGAAGTGGCCGCGGATGAAGAGGATGTGCTGGATTTGGGCGAGGTATGTGCCTGGGCTCATCCAATCTGTCCTTGCTCACTTCCGGGCCGTGTGGCCAAGAAGAGGCATACTGCCTTTACGTATTGGATTCGACAACCTCCGACCACTTACGAGAAGTGCTACGACCCTGTTCATCTCCGATTCTTGTGACAATGCCGGGTCTTGGTTCTGGGGCTTCCTTGTGACGTGTTTGCTGCGCTCCTGAGGCGTTGGCACTGCGAAGGTGCCAACCTCAGCGGGAGAAAGTGGGAGAGGTTTCAGTGAACCAAAGAGGCGCTAAGGAATATTTGAGGAAGATCGGAAGAACAGTAGGAGCAAGAAGCTACTAGTAACTAGTAACAAGTGCCTTACTAGTAGTAACAAGAAGCTAGTAGAAACAATAAGCTACTAGGAACAAGTGCCACGCTACTAGGAACAGGTGCCTTACTAGTAGTAACAATGTTTGCTATTAGAAACAATGTTCGCTACTAGATCATCCCAATATCTTGATGTGAGGAACTCACGACCTCTCGGCATCGCTTGAGGTCGTCAGCTTCCACATCAACAACTCAACGGCGCACACTCTTCGCTTCCAGTTCCCAGATTCGCTACCGCCGCCACTGGAGGGCATCAAGTGCGGCTCTCAGCAGCTGAACTGGTGTCAGAGATGGTACTCCAGAAGTGTTTCAACCTTAAAGCGATGGCCTCAAACCTAATAGCGAGGGTCTCCAACGTAATGCAGATGACCTCCAACTAAATTAGCGATGGCCTCCAACCTAAGAGCGATGGCCTCCAACCTGCTAGCGATGGCCTCCAACCCAACAACGATGGCC